AGGAAGACCGTGCAGGTACTTAGAGACTCACTGACTTCTACTGAATGAAACAAAACATGCTCAGAAAAAAACCCTGTTTGAGGGAACATAGGAGAGTACTGGAGGACAATATGCACTTTCTGTATTATTTCCTGGCAATCCCCTTACAGCCACTACTGGAAGTAGCATACAGGGTTAGATAGTTCATGACTTGAATCTGTACATACAATCTTTTATTTTCATGTAACCTAATACATGCACACAATGCAAACACCAAAATATTCATGTTTCACTAAACGTAAAGAACTAGGCAGTCAACTATGAAATCAGCAGAAACCATTTTGTTATCTACATATAAATGAAGGGGCATCTGTTTTCACAGACGAAACAGAGAAAGAGCGTACCCCATGCATGTTCACAGCACATATGAAAGTGAGAACCTGTTGTTATGACTTGCCAGTTTTAAGAGATTCTGATGTTCCAAGTGAAGTTGTTTCTTCCATATGATAAAATTATATTCTTCTTAAATTTATGTCAGTGCTCTGAGGAACTTAGATGCATAGCTCTCTGTAATGTGTACTCTGCAACATTGGTCAGACCTTGCAAGCTGTCTGTCAACATCTAAGTGAAATGAAGCTTTTCAGTTAGCAGGCTTCCAGGAGAAGCATGCTTTTTCTGTTACCTGGCATATAAGATCTGAGTGAGTCTCAAAACGAATACTTTACCATTAAGTCACTTTTTGAGTTGATGGGGGCACACAGCTGTGTAAATACTCCCCATGTTAAGCTTTTTGAAATACAGGAAAGCCTTTGACTGTTGCCTGGAGGTGCAGTTGACATGAACAGCTTTGAAGAATAGTTCTATTCCCTCTGGGATGAAGGGCTGAATGTACAGTATTGATAAGTGACATTTCTGTTTAAAGATACTTTAAATGTACAATAGCATCATGTTCTGTTTTTTCACCTAGTTGACCCGGAAGTGATAGGGAAAATGATAATGCAACATATACTCTTGGCAGTAATAGTCAGAGGCATTCACAGTGTTTTCTCTTGTTGATGCTGGCCAAATTTCTGTCTTAGTTTTTCAAGGTGGACTCCATCATCCCACCAATTGATGCATTTGCCAGCTTCACACTGGATTATTTCAGTTTTCTAAGGACAATTTGTTATGGAAACGTGAAAACCCCAATTGTTTCAAAATGTGGCTGCACCCGTGGTTAAGTAGAGTTTCTTCAGGAGAGAACTATATATTTTTTTAAATTTTAATCTGCAATAGCTTGCAATTTAAATATACGGCTATCACTTACCAAACCCTAAACAACTTTGATCCTTAAAAATAATTTTTTGGATACAGTTGCCTAGGTTGCCCTACAAGACTGCACTTCTATGGTCCCTCACAGTTGTCTGGTTTGTACTAGCAGTATATTGTTTACTTTATACGTGCTCTAAGACAAACCATCCTACATTATCCTTTCTTATCCTATGTGCAGTCTGCATACCAGAGCCACAGAGTAATATGTCTTTGAGACTCCAGTTTTGTGCTCGTATAGATCTCCATGCTTGAATTGTTTTAATCCCTTTCCTGAATCCCTGCAGAGGCCCTAGCTAGTTATGAGGCCTGCTGCTCCAGAGAGACACCTTCCTCAAACAGATCAAGTAAATTAAAATACAAGGGTACTGGAAACAAGATACTCTAAAATCTAAACTTTTCTTCCTTGTCAATAGAATGCAAGAATAGATAGGTAGATATCATAATAAATGTTTTAAAATAATTGCACTTTATTTGGAGGAAATGTAGAACAACGTATTCCTATTTTAGAATTTTTTCTTACTAACATCTCTTGAGCTGAAAGAAAAAAGTCCTGGCCTTTTTTGATCAGTTATGCTGTTGATCAAATATTCACTCTTACCTGCCTTTAGAATACAAAAATCAAGACCGTGGAGTTGTCTTGTGATTATAACCTAATCTCATAAGGGTGCTGCCAAACAAAACTTCAGTTCTGAAACAAATAATGTAGTCAAATAAAATCCAAAAAGTGGATTTAAAAAGAACCAGTCCCACTTTGTGAATCAAAGGAGAGGATCAAACATACTTGTGACCCTACACATCTCTAAGGCCCAGACTTATTTTATACCACTAAATACATTTAAATTCTGAAAAATATTACTCAAAGTAGATTGCAAAAGACAAAATTACATCAAATTTTCCCCTAATAAAAACATTACAAAACATAAATGTGCTATGATGTGGTGAAAAGGTAAGTTATAATATTCAAGAATTTATCTAAGGCAATGTCTGTCATAAGACTGTTGACATTATTTTCACCTGATCAGACTGAAAGCAGTACACAGATAACCCTTCCAAGACAGTATGACTTCTGAACCTAGTCAGCAGGAAGTATCTGAAATGCACATTTGATAAAGACCAATGCAAGCATGAGTGGGGAGGGAGGAATATTTTTAATTATGTTTACTTTTTGAAATCCCAAGCAAACATACCGAATAGTCTGGGACCAAAAGATGTAAAAGTGGGGATGAACCAACTGTGGACTAAATACAATGGAAAAGATCAGAGTATTTTATGTGAACAGTTTCTCTTCCTCAAAATACTTGGAAAATATATGAAAATGCTTCACAGTTCCTGTTACATATTCACTGTATCAACCATATGCTGATTGGGTTGAATTGTCTTCTGAAAGCCCTCCTGAGCTCAATGCTATCTTTATTATTAATTTGATGATTTATATAGTGTTTATTGTTGTGACAGCCAGTACCTTTAATTAAGAAAACTGAAATACAAAGGAAAGTAGGTGAGCATCCTTTCCGATGGTAATCTGTTTCCTGAAGCCCTGATTCAGTGGCAGTCTGCCCAGGATAGAACTGAATTACAACTCCCAGCACCCCTCTCGTTTCCAATGAGTTGTTTTAATTTTAAACCAAGGGTTTGATGGCAGAAAGATATTTCAGATAACACACAATTCAAGGACTATCCCAAAGGGTATTTTTCATATTCATTTCAGGAAGAAGCCTGTAGGGTTGTTCATGTAATTGATTCACGCATAATTCAAGGAAAGTTGAACCATTTATTGTACTACTGGGTAAAATATCACATGCATCATAGTTGAAACTGGCAGTGCTGCTCACCGTTAAGGCAGCCTGACACTTGCCCATTACTGGACAATTTTCATTACTTCCTATTTCCTGATTTACCAGCCACAATAATAGAAACATCCTAGGCCATATCCCCAAAACAAAGAGGCTGTAAACAATAGTGGATTAATGTCCTTTTGCTGCCCATTCCACAGTGTGTAAGAGGCATTAAGGCTCGTTATTCATTTGGATGTTTGTGGTGGTTTGCTAGAGTAGGAGGTATTTCTCTCTTCCTTGTTTTTCAATTCCAGTTTTCCATCCTTCGCATCAGTCCTGCTCTGCAGTCTATACATGAGCATTGTTCAGACTGCTTAAAGCACATGGAAGGAAGGGTACAAAAGAAGTAGGGTTCATAACCCAACATTCACAGTACTGGAGCAAGGCTGACTTTATGATTTTTTTCTGTTTCTTACTTCCACTTGTACACACATTACTTGGAATGGTAGCAGCTGCTGAAGGATAGGAAAGGGAGTTATGTCTGTCTTTTGAAGCACATCAACATAGAAGAAGAAATCAGCTGGAAAAAGCCCTTTCCCCAGACCCCATCAAAAGAAGAAACTTGTATCAAGTATGGCATTTCTTTTTGCAGGGTCATAACCATATTGTACATCAGCCTACCTTACTGTAGTCTTACAACACTCACAACAACCTTTGTGATCTTGGCAACATTCAAAATCCTGATTATAATTGCTTTCAAATTCCCTGTCTCTGGTTCTATGAACTCCTCTTGATGGTCAATGCTGAGCTCAGAAACAAGTGCAAGGTAAATACCTTCACAGTGTTTGGAATAAGCTCCCAAACAGCAGAGAGGAGAAATATAAACAATCTCATTTGTGAAAGAAAAAGGATTCCACAGCACCTAAAGCTTGAAGAAAGGAGGCTAGAGTGAACATAAGCCAGGAAAGAAGAAATAGGAGAATGCACAGGATTGAATTTTCAGACTGATGATCCAACAATAAGGGTCTAAAAATTAATCAGAAATTAGAGCTACAGAAAAGGTCTTTGTGCAGGTAACACTGTAAAAGTAAGATAGTGTGAATTACTTTAGCATGTATTTAGAGGTTTAACTAAACCATAATATTTTTGAGTTATCATTGGATAAACACTATTTAATATGTTCATCAATTATATAGATAGTGCGATCAAGTGCACGCTCAGCAAGTTTGCAGATGACACCAAGCTGACTGCTGCAGTTGACTCAGTGGAGGAAAGGGGTACTATCCAGAGAGACTTTGAACACATGGTAGGATATAAGAAGATATTTATGCTTCACTATTAAGCATGTTCATAAAATACGTTCTTAGTATTTCATCTTTCTACAAATGTAGCAATTGAACAGGGACTTAGATAATAATTGAGTTGAAATAGGAGAGAATGATGCCCACAGTTTATAGAGTAGCTTAATTTTAAAGCTATATGACAAGTATATAAGCTACAACATTATATGTATTTAGTCAAAAGTCTTAGAGAATGATGATGATGGATGATAGGAAGTTGCTTTGAATATATGTCTGTGTGCACATAATATAAAAACTATCTGTCAATCTAAATTTGATTCGAAATAATTTTCTTTTTGAGTAAAAAACACGAGTATATACATATCCATAAATATAATAATTTTAAATGTTTTAGGGTCAGTTTATGTTAGAAGCTTCCACATATAATTCTGAAAAGCATTAGAAGATAAGTTTTCAGGTTAAAGTGTCTCATGTTAAACAGTGAATGATTTAAGATAACAATATTTTTGAGAACTAGACTGAGCACCAAAGCCATTTGAGTTCATGTACTGCACACAGTATCAGTACTGCCCTGAAATCTTAGCGAATCAATCTGTTATAATTAAGGCAATTATATGACAGTATTCATACTAACCTGCAGTGAAAAGCTCTTCCAGGTCCATCAACACATACACCTCCATTGTAACACAGAACTGAGTTTAGTGTAGGCTCATTGCAAACATCAACATCGACTTCACAAAACCTGCCAGTGTACCCACTCAGGCAAGTACAAACAAAGGCATTGACTGCATCTTGACAAGAACCTCCATTAATGCAGGGAGTAGATTCGCATTCCTGAGGAGAGAAATAATAATACATTGACTATACAGCTTTAAAACACATTACTTACTCATCTCAATAGCAAGTGCAAGACTGAATCTGGAGATTAAAAAAGGTGTTGGACTTTTTTTATTGTCTGATGAACCGAAATCTCTAATTTGAGGCATTTTTTTTATAGAGAGATACTTCGATTACAACTCATACTCATTCTTGAAACTATACTTGTTCCTACTCATTAATCTTGCAGAAATGCAAATATACTTTATATAAGGAGTCATTCAGCTGTAAGTATGTATTCCTGTTTTAAAATTTTAAAGCGTGTTTTTGACACAAAATTGATACAATTATTCTGTTTAATTTTTTACAGTAGGGTCTATTACAGTGAAAAAATCCCCACATTAGTTAGGTAATTTTAGACAGAATAAAGAATTACTCATATAAACCAATGCACACAATCCTTTTATCAGTATTTCCTGATTAATGCTTTCTCCTTATCAAGTAATACATAATATTGCAAATAGAAACATTTAGAAATGTTTACCTGTTCACATAATAAAATTTTCCTTTGATAAAACTAGTGTAAAAATCATCACATTCAAACCATGCAAAGCAGCAGCAAGTTAATATTTTTCCAGAATTACAGGAGGGTTTAGTTAGTGCAATTGTCAGTGCAAAAAATGTGGGTTTGCCCTTGAGCACAGAAACCTAGTTTTTACCTCTATCCCAAAGGAGTTGTATTTTGCAAATGCAACCCAAATAGTCTAGCTAAATCCAGTATTTTAAATTTATTCTCACACTACTGTAACTTTAGAAGGTTTAATTCTTTAAGGATATCCAAGGGCATTCAGATTTCCTGCAGGTACTACTGTTGCTTTTGACAGAATGTAAATTCAGATATCAATGGGGAATTGTGAGAAAACAACTTATTTTCGTATAAGCTCTCCAGCTGGATGGATATAGGATGATTTATTAGTGAGCATTACATAAACTATTTGAATTGTACATCCCATAGGAAGATGGAGATAGTCCTACAGACTGCCAAAAATCCTGTATAGAAGTAGTCTTTTGCTATATTAATTACATTTGTTGTTGACAGGCATAAGTGTGTTTTTTTGCTTATAAAAAAATCTCAATTTGCAGTTCCAACTCTGACTTTTTTTCTATTTTGGTAACTTGTCTAGTCTTCTTAATTTGTATTCACTTGGGTCCATGTCTATGACTTTTGTTTTACAGATATGCTCATTGCAGAATAAATTAAATATCTATCAACTAAGAGACCAAATTTTTATCTGATTATGATTCAAAAGTTAAAGTTCAAAAAATACCAAAATCATCAGAATAGCTAAGTCACAGTCATACCAAGTTGCAAACTTAATGTAAAACTTTTTTATTCTCTTCCATGAAATCTATTGTCCTTGTAAAATTTTACAAAACTACTTACTGTAATTATTTTTTTCAGTAACATAAACCCCAGACATTCTTTAGGAAAGAAAACACACCTATCACTTTCCAGTATATTTTGATGTGCTGCAGTTAAAAGTTAAACATTAGACTGACAAAAAACTAAAGTACACTGTTACCAGAGAAGTGCTGGTCTGCATTGCTCTTAATTCAAGAAAATTGTTTCTGTTCACAGAGACAACTGTGTTAAAAATGCCACAAATAAATTTATACCAAAGTTGATGAGCTACCACACTGGCACCAAATGCTGTAGTTTGTAATCTAAGGAACAAGAACGAGACAACAAACTAAAGTTGCAACACAGTTGTTACCGAGTCCTGCCTATCTTACATCCTACCAGAGAATGATTTTACAGCTTGACAGCTGGGAGTAGTTGGCTTTACAGAAAATTCCCAGCTACCCTGACTCTCTGAAGATAAGCTCACCTAAACACCAATGCTATTTCTATTTTGTCTTTCTTTATATAATGGGAGATTGAATCTTAACTATGACCTCTAACCAAACAGTTGCCAAATAAGAGCAACAATTGCAAGAACTCACAGTCCTAGAAATATTGTCTCTCTTCTCCAGTACAGTAGGAGCAAAATATTTTATTCGTTACCTCTGGTGCTCAGTTCCCAACCTAATGAGAAATCTTTTAATCTTTTCTCACCTAGAAATGATCTGATCAGTTATTCAAAGGAAAACTGCCTTCAAATAACTAAGGAAAATGAAAATCACAAAAATAGTATTCACAAAGATGGGTCATTTTAGTTTTTCCAAAATGCAAATTTGTTGATATATAGGAGTATCACAATTGCTGATTGGGTGGGCATCTGGCAGCTAGATAAAGTGAACTCACCACACCTGGGTATTTATAGGGTATAAAACTTTCTCTTCTGGCCTATCAGAGCAAGTAACCTGTTCAAACAGAGATATATTTCCTAGGTTTTCCTGCAGCCATCATTGCCCTCCATCTTTTCCCTTCCTGTTTTCTAGTTTGTTCCATCTAAAAGCAGCTTCAGTCAAACCAGGGCTACCACCACCCATATACAAGGAAAGAGAAGGACAGAAGAACTGCTTCTAAGGCTTAATCTTGTCAGGTTCTTCCTCTTCTAGAGGGGTTTGCTTGTTCCACTGTCACAAAAAGAAAAAAAAAAAAGGTGCCCCTTATTAAATTCAATTGGGGTTCTCTGCTTGTTGCTTACCCATCATTACAACTGTAGATGGTGCCCAGTACTCACACTATACAGCATACCAATGTTCCCCTTCACAGCTCATATTTTATAATGCAGACAGCTTCAATAATTTCCCTTGTAAAGAAATTAAATGATTTAACAAAATAGAAATGACACAATTGTAATCATTTGTATAGAGTTTTTATCAACTCTTCACCAGTCTGACATACTTTGTTCTCAGACAAATATCTTTTGAGTTTTCTCATATCTCATCTCCTAACAGTAAAGCAGCATGGGTCCCTTTCAGTAGGCATGTTTTATTCTGAGTTTGGTTTTCTTTCTGTGAAGCATACACTTTTCTTGATTTAAGCTAACAAGGAATCCTTTGAGTTTATGTATTGTTAACAGGCAATGACCTTGGAAAAGATTTAAAAATTATAATGGACAAGCTATCAACATGAACTCCCATTGCAATGCTATGGAAAAAATTGCTAATGCTACCCTTAAGTCTTCAGAGAGGCGAACTATGACTTACACTTAGACAGGTAATTATTTCTCTTTTTATGGTTAGGGGAAACTGAAACATTGTGCCAAGTTCTAGAATCTGTTTATTGCAAAGGATGTCAAAAAATGTAGCCCATAACATGATTTAGGTACTAGCTAGAATACTTTACAGTAAGTAAAATCTAAGAAAAATAACACTTAACAGAATTTTTATGACAGAGTTTTTTTTCAAAAGCATTACATCATGTATATAATTTTCACATGATACCACTGAAAACATAAATAACACATACAGGTTAAAATTATTAGACAAATTCATGGAGTACAGATCTGTTTCTAGCTATTAAAAGAAATAATCAGTGTGAGTTCTTTGCTATAAGAAGTTCCATAACTCTTGATGGCTCTATGAGTGTTCCTAGGTTTAGGTTATCACCAAAAAAAATTGAGAGAGAGGGAAAGATAATGGCAGTGCACAGATATTTTCACAAGAATATTACGTATTGAGTATTTAACTCCCGGAGAAAGTCAGTACTTGATTCCCCAAATCCAGATATATCCAGTGAGAGATAAGTTCCAACTTTACTACCGAGAGTCAGTCACTGTAAAACTGTCAAAAGTTTTCCAACCCCTTATGTTTTAAAATAAAGACTTGATGCATCTCTAAAAGATATGCTTTAGGCAAATAAATACAAGTATTAATTTCCATGGAGCTGTAAATGAATGGAATATACAGACTTCTGACAGGAGAACAGAATGGTGATTTTATGGCTTTATTTTTAGTAAATTATTTTTTACAGTACATATAAGCCCTTATTGATTTTCTTATCATAGCAAAGCAATTTAAAAATTTCTTTGGTAAAGGTAAAAAAATGAAAGAATATTGAGATTTCTAGGTATGCAGCTCTTTTAAGGGTAGATTTCCTTAAGAATCCTTAATTCAAACAATTCAAACAAGATCCACTACATTTATTAAAGCACAATAATTTATTATTTCTTCTCTGTATGTCCTGTTCTTTCAATGTCATCTTGAGTAAATCTTGTTAGTACTAGGAAGAAAATGACTGTCCATTAGAGTCCACCTGGCATGGCACAGTTCACTGGTTCTGCTAGCAGGGAATTGTTCTGAAATCTGGACTCTAGCAAGCGACCTAGAAAAGCATAGCACTTTGCTCAAGGCATACTGTTCCCTTCTCCAAATGTGTGGGTCCATACTGACATCTGTCTTTGGAAGTGAGGTTATTCTGCCTAAGAAAGCCCAACTTTCTACATGTCTCATTATATCATCTCCAAAGTCACAATCCATTGCTTGAAACAATTATAAGGGAACACATTTTAGCAAATTAATAACAAAAGTGAAAATCCATTATTTTTCCAAATAATGTGTAAGTTCAACACTGTTTCTTAAAACAAAATCTAGAAGTGTATTTTAGAAGTTAGTGGGGTTTTTTATCTTTTTCTACAGAAAAGACTATTTTTCATTAGTCCTTCTTGGACCTTGCTGATTAGAAACCGAAAATGATTTCTAACAATACTTTGAAATTTATTTCTATAAAAGAAATTTAAGGCAAAAAATTGTAATGATAGAGATATTTTTATTTAAGTGAAGTTTTGTTTTGTATCAAAAAGGTAATTATAAAATGGACTAATTCTCAACATAAATAACTAGTGCAAATGCACTGTGAGGAAGTGGTGGGGGGCAAGGAATCTATCAGGAATACACTTAAGCTATATACAGATTTATCTTTTAAAATACTTGTATGTGGTGCATTATACAGTCTAATTTCCTGTGAATACCAATTACGTAAAGTCCAAAGTACCATTTGCTGTTTGATTTCTTTGTACCAAACTATGAAGTGATTAACTGTAGGGGAAGACTTGAGGCAGAAAAAGGTA